CTCCATTTGTCTTAACTGCCTCTCACCTGTGTGACTGGTTCAATGCACAGTGTCTGTTCGGCCAGGTGTTTTTCACAAGGAGGGTGTTTTTCACAAGTCAGTGTACCTGGCAGCAGTTCCTCTTCAACAAAGGCTACCTTATGCCTGAAGCCTGAGGCCTTTGGTTTGAATGGGAATTCTTCCCAAAGGGAGATGCATGTTCACAGTACTCTTCTGGAAATCCTACCCTGAGGGTCTCAAAGACATAGCAACCCTATTTTCTGTAAGGCAAATTGATACCTAATAGTTATTTTTCCTGTTTTTTTAAATATATATTTTATTGATTATGCTATTACAGTGGTCCCATTTTTTTCTCCCTTTTATTCTCCTCCACCCTACACTGCCCCACCCCCCACCCCAGCCTTAGTTCATGTCCATGGGTCATACATATAACTTCTTTGGCTTTTCCATTTCCTATACTATCCTTAACCTCCCCCTGCCTATTTTGTACCTACTATTTGTACTGCTTATTCCCTGTATCTTTTCCCCCATTCTTCCCCCTTCCCCTCCCCCTCTCCTCTGTTTTACTGTTCATAGTTTTTGATCTTCTTTTTCTTAGATAAGTCCCTTTAACATTTCATATAATACGGGCTTGGTGATGATGAACTCCTTTAACTTGACCTTATCTGGGAAGCACTTTATCTGTCCTTTCATTCTAAATGATAACTTTGCTGGATAGAGTGATCTTGGATGTAGGTCCTTGCCTTTCATGACTTTGAATACTTCTTTCCAGCACCTCCTTGCCTATAAGGTTTCTTTAAAGAAATCAGCTATTAGTCTTATGGTCACTCCTTTGTAGATAACTATCTCCTTTTCTCTTGCTGCTTTTAAGATTCTCCCCTTATCTTTAATCTTGGGTAACTTAATTATGATGTGCCTTGGTGTGTGCTTCCTTGGGTCCAACTTCTTTGGGACTCTCTGAGCTTCCTGGATCTCCTGGAAGTCTATTTCCTTGGCCAGATTGAGGAAGTTCTCCTTCATTATTTTTTCAAATAAATTTTCAGTTACTTCCTCTTCCTCTTCTCCTTCTGGCACCCGTATGATTCAGATGTTGGAATGTTTTAAGTTGTCCCAGAGGTTCCTAAACCTCTCTTCATTTTTTTTGAATTCTTTTTTCTTCATTTTTTTCTAGTCGAATGTTTATCTCTTCCTTCTCCTCCAAATCGTTGATTAGAGTCCCGGTTTCCTTCCCTTTACTGTTGGTTCCCTGTGTATTTTTCTTGATTTCACTTTGCATACTTTGCTTTTTCCTCCATTTTGCAACCATAGTCAACCAATTCAGTGAGCATCCAAATTACCAGTGTTTTGAACTATGCATCTGATAGTTTGGCTATCTGTTCATCGCTTAGTTCTATTTTTGGAACTTTGATCTGTTCTTTTATTTGAGCCAAATTTCTGTGTCTCAGCGCACCTGGTATGTTGGAAGGAGCGGAGCCTTAGGTATTCACCAGGGCAGGGCAACCCAGGTCACTGCGTAGTGACACTATGTGTGGGGGAGGGGTCAGAGAGGGAACAATGCTGCTTGCTCAGGTCTCGCTGGCTTTCAGTCACTTTCCCCCTACCCACAAGCAAATTGGGCCCTTGCAGTGTTGATTCCCGAGTGGGTGTGTTTGTGTGTGTTCTGGGACCCCGTGGGTCTCTCCAGTGGACTTTCCTGTGAAGCTGGGAGTTTCTCCTGCTGCTGCAACCCCCACAGGTTTTTACCTCCAGAGGTTTTGAGGTTTTCTTTTCCTGCACTGTAATCCTGGATAGCACAGTCCGTCTTGCTCCCCAGCTGTTCCTCCGGTTTATATACAGGCAAATGTGGGACTGCGGGGCCTGCCAGCTGCCACCTTGCCTGCCTGGTCCTCCAGCTGCCACCTTGCTGCGAATCCTCTCCTCCCTGCTGCTGGTCTCTGCCGCTCCTACTGGCCTGGATGAGTGTTTCTTCTTTAGCTCCTTGGTTGTCAGACTTCCATACAGTTCAATTTTCTGGCAGTTCTGGTTATTTTTTGTTTTTAAATTTGTTGTCCTTCTTTTCGTTGTGTGAGGAGACAAAGTGTATCCACCTATGCCTCCATCTTGGCTGGAAGTTCCTTTTTTTATATTGAGGTATAATGGCCATATAGCATTATATTAGTTTCAGGTGTAGAACAGAACGATTTGACATTTGTATATACAGTAGTCCCTCTTATCCATGGTTTCTTTGTTTCAATGACCTGAGGTCAACCACAGTCTGAAAATATTAAATGGAAAATTCCAGAAATAAATGATTCATAAGTTTTAAATTGCACACTGTTCTGCGGAGAGGGATGAAATCTCATGCAGTCCCACTTTGTCCCACCCGTGGCATGAAGCATCCCTTAGGTCAGTGCCTTTCGGTCACTCAGCAGCCACTTCAGTTTTCAGATTGGCTGTCATGCTATTGCAGTGCTTTTGTTCAAGTTACCCTGATTTTACTTAATGATGTCCCCAAAGTACAAGAGTAGTGATGCTGGAAATTCAGATATGCCAAAGAGAAGCCACAAAGTGCACTTATATATAGGAAGAAATACAGTATATACAGGGGTCAGTGATGTCTGTGCTTTCAGGCATCCACCGGGGGTCTTGGACTGTATCCCCCACAGATATGGGGAGACTGCTGTATTGTGAAATGATCACCACAGTAAGTCTAGTTAAAATCTATCACTACACATAGGTAAAAAAAAATTTTTTGTGATAAAAGGATTTCTAAGATTTAACTCCCTTAGCAACTTCTAAATATGCATTACAGTATTATAAACTGTAGTCACCATGCTGTAGATTGCATACCCATGACTAATTTTTTTAACTGGAAATTTGTACTTTTTGACCCCCTTCACCCATTCCGCCCACCCACCACCACCCCCTGCCTCTAGCAACGACCAGTCTCTTCTCTTGCTACATAATAGTTTGACATGTGGTCTGGCGATGGAACAGTCAGGAATCTCAGAAACTCTACCCATGAATTTAAGGAGCTATAGGAGAAGAAATGATGTGGGGGAGGTACAAATAGCCGCTCCTCACTGTTAGACAAAGTATGTGCGTGTGAGAGGTCCTGCCACCACCCCACCTTGTTCCCACCACACATACTGTGTCCCCTTGCCTTTCCAACCTTAATCTACATGTCAGAACACTCCCTTCTGATACAGCTGGAAATTCTCATCACAAATATGCTCTAAAGTTACGGGTTTCTAAACACCAGGTGACTGACGAGTGTTGAGTGGTTGCATGAGAATCACTTGAGGCCCAGCACCAGAGATTAGGATTTCATGATTCCGGGGATGTCTGGGAATCAATATTTAGAAAAGGAAAAAAAAAACCCCAATCACTGTTCTCAGCAGTTTCCTCTCCAGCACATTTGGGAACACTGCTATAGCAGTAAATGGGAAGGGTGCTCTAGCCCCAAAGAGGGTCTCTCACTTCTTGCTTTAAACAGAACAATTTCCAGAACTTCTAGCCTACTGGGGACCCAGCAGTCTGTCACACAGACTCAGTTACACAGAATTTATTTGGGGACAGAGATGGGGAGAATGGAAGGAAAAACCTCTATAGTCTCTGCCCTGGAGGACTCAGAGCCAATTCGGGTGAGACAAGACTGTCACACATGAAAAACACCCAAGAGCATGTGCAGAACAGCTACAACTGAGTGTAGATGAGTACTCTGCAAACAGAGAGAGGATGACTGGCTCAACTTGGAAGGAGAAAGCGTGAAATGCTCCAGGTTGGGAAGGAATCCATGTTTACGTCCAAATTGTTGGCCCATGTGCTTCTGTCACTTACTATGAAATGGTCTCTGGAGAGAAATGGGGGCTAGGGACAACTATGAAACTACTGGGGCAGTTCATGTGTCACTCTCTTAAGTAGCAGAAGCACTTCCCTGTATGTGTGGAAATGAGCCAGGCGTGTCTTAAGTGGAGGCAGTCTGGATCATGACCCGGAAGGCAGAGACCAGCACGAAGCTGCGGGACATGAGATTTCCCTGTTCTTACCCTTGTGTCAGTCCAAAGCTGCATCCCTTTTGCCACAGGGCATTTCCTTCCCCAGGACTGACCCTTTCACAGGTACCCAAACCTCATCCAGCAGCCATGAGTAGGCCCCCACCCCTTTTCCAACAGAAAGGGATGCTCCCCAAGCTGTAATGAAGGATCTCAATGTCTGTTTACAGTGGAGAGAAGGTTGGTGACCCTAAGGAGCTCCACCAACGGCCCATCATCAGCCCAGACTGTCCCTGTGGGTAAAAGAGGTTTTCCCAAACTTTCCCCAAAGTTGCCTGCTTATCAGAAACCTCTGCAATGCTGTTAAAAATACAGGTGTCTGGGCCTCAAATTATAGGGATCTTCAGAAGAGAGCTCTTTCAAAAAACCAATTCTTTGGATGGGGTAAATTTGGGAAACTTTGCTAGGGAGCACACCCTTTCTTACCCATGGATGACTCAACTCCTGCCTCTGCTAGACCGCTGCTGCCTGGGCTAGGCCAAGGGCAGCATTCCTGGGAAAAATACAAAGTGGGTTCTTTCTAAAACCCAATAGTGGTAACAATGCTAACTAACCTTTATCAACTGTGTCTACCGGGGGCTTTTTATTTTTTATTATCTCACGTAATCCTCCCAATAACTTAATGAAGTCTGTTTTTTCAGATGGGGACATAAAAATAAGGGAAGTTAAGTGACTTGTCCAAAAGCACACGTGGCTAGCCTCTGGCAGAGCTAGTCAGGACTCAGACTTCTGACTCCTAAGCTCCATCTCTTTCCCACATTACTGATCCTGGAACCTTGAATCAACTGGCTGCACATTCCAGTTGACAGCTAACCAGCCCAATTCAAACCACTACCACTACCCCAAGGAAAGGGAAGCAGAAGAGGGTGCTGATATGTATCTTAAACTCTCTAGTGGGTGTGTGAATGAGGAATGAAATTAAGGAAAGCATAGGAGAAAGATGCTGATCCTTCATTTGGTCCTCAGGTACTGGAACTCCTTAAGCAACCTGGTGGCATCCTTGCTGAACTCTGTGCGCTCCATTGCCTCCCTCCTGCTCCTCCTCTTCCTCTTCATCATCATCTTCTCCCTCCTGGGGATGCAGCTCTTTGGAGGGAAGTTCAACTTTGATGAGATGCAGACCCGAAGGAGCACATTTGATAACTTTCCCCAGTCCCTCCTCACCGTGTTTCAGGTATGGACTCTCCTCTGCTGGGATTATGAGTTGGGAGGGTGGTTGAGTGGTGGGGGGGCGGGGAAGGGGAGCAGGAAGGAGGAGCCTTGACAAGGTGGGGGAGGCTTCACCCTTGCACTGGACAGCCAAAGCCAGCTAGATCAGCTATGGAGGGTGCGCTCTCAGGAGAACCTTGAGTTCTTTCTATAGTTTCCCCAATCCGCAGTCCCCTGTGGAATTTCACTGTGGGGTGGACCATTGAAAAAAGATCTAATCAAGATGTTTAAAAACACTTCCTTGGCCATGGGACCCTTTATTCAAATTAATTCTACATAGAAACCCAAAATACAAACAAACAATAAGCAGACCGCTCTGTTGTGGGAGGGGAGGATAGAGCTCTGTCTCACCTATCCATGACACTTTTCCCCAGAAAAAAATATAACAAGCCCATCAAATTTGTGATTTCATAGATATTTGAGATAAGGAAAAAGCTAGAGTAGCACCTGTTTAAGTTTAAAAGTAGATTGATTTACAGATAAAAATGAATAATAACGTGGATGTTGCCAAAATCTTTAAAGATGAGACCCAGATGACTAATGTTTGGAGAGAACTGGGTAGCATAATATTCTCTCAATGAACACACTCATTTGCATTTGTAAAGGGGCCCTTGATTCTTAGTCCAAGGAAGTGGCTAGTGGTGGCCATCTCATGCACCATGTGTGGGGAGGAGGAGATATTTTGACCCAGAAGCTCTTTCACTCAAATGATAGTGTGCCAGTGGCCACGCACTGTGTTTAAGGACAGCATCAGCTTGCCAAGTCACTAGCTCAGTCCCAGGGAGGAGAGCTGGGGGGGCCAGGAGGAGGGCGAGAGGTGGAAAGAGATTTCAGGTGTTCTGGTTAGCAGAGTGGGGCAGGGCAGGGGAGTTTTGGGGTTTGCTGTTGGTCTAACGCTGTGTCCCTTATTGGTGGGAATGTGTCATTCAGATCCTGACCGGGGAGGACTGGAATTCGGTGATGTATGATGGGATCATGGCTTATGGCGGCCCCTCTTTTCCAGGGATGTTAGTCTGTATTTACTTCATCATCCTCTTCATCTGTGGAAACTGTATCCTTTGCTCCTGCCTCCCCACCCCGCCACCCACCCTCCCTCAGCTTACAGCATGATGCCGAATAGGCGTGCCCGCAGGTCCTGACTGGGGCCTGAAAACTGTGGTGGCCCATGCACAGGGCCCCCAGGCAAGTGGGGAGAGGTGTGTTCTGGGGGAGAAAACAATTCCCAGCCCAGAAGCACCTTAGGTGGAAGTGGGTCTTGGTGGACGGAAGCCGAGAGCTTTGGCAAAAGCGGGTCCCTCTTCCTGTTCTGTTCTGGCTGCAGCGTTGCCCGACTCCGGGAGGGGTGTTCTTGGCATGGCCTCGGTGAGCACCCGCCCTGGCAGTATCCTGTGCAGCCCCTCACACAGACTCCGATGTGAGCCCGCCTAGGTTTGGGCTCTCTGGCTGCCCTGGCCGCCCTCACCCTTAAACTGACCGCTCATCTCTCCTCCCTGCTTTCTGGTCAGTGTCCCTCCCTCTGAAGCTACTCTGTGGGGCTTTAGCACCAGGCAGAGCTGGACAGGGTTCAGCAGGCAGACCTGACAGAGCCACGGGCAGTGTGTTAGGGTCTCAAACGTAGGCCCTCTTCTCTCCCCTGGTCATAAACATGTGAGGGTTGTGTGCAGAGGTGGGTGCTAAAGTAGAAGCAGCTCTCACTGGAGACTCACGTTTATATCACAGCTTAATGCAGTGCAGAAAGCACTGGGTGACCTCTGCCAATGCTAAGCTGGGGTGATAAAGTGATAGTGCCTGCTCCTCAGTAGGTCATTGTGAGGGTCAGCGGGGTAAGGCCCAAGGGCAGGTATCCAGCAGCATCTTGGACAAGCCCTTATACCCCTTGGTATGGTTTCCCTGCGGGCGATGGTGTGACTGTTGGGTACCTGGGGATGGAGGTCAGACTCACCAAACGTTCAGCTCTCCTTCCTTTGATTCTGCAGTCCTCTGACCCACAGGGTTCTATTTGAGGTTAGGGTGGAGGGAGGAAAAAAAGGCAAACAGCCGCTTCAGTAAGGGGTTCCCAAGCTTCGGCCAGCCCCACTGGACCTTCCAAGGGTCTCTGTAGGGGTGGGCTCACATTAAGAGTCGGCAGAGACGTCAGGCCGCCTCCTTGATGCCCAGTTATGAACAGCTCTTAAGAGCATTCTGCATTCTGCTAGAGACAATGCTGTTTATAATGTCAATTACAGCCAGTCATCTCTGCAGGGAAACCAATAATGAAACCCAGCAATTAAAGAGCAAGGCAGGGCTCACCGCCTCCCTCCCTCCCTGCTCTAGCCTGAAAGCTAGCCTGCTCTCCACCCCTTAGAAAACTCCGGGAAGCTAGTAGGGTGATGGGGAGGGAAAGGGACGGGGGAGGGACACCCCTAGCTCAGCACCCTCGAAGTGAGTCACTGTTGAGCTGTCTCTGTGGGGAACTCTGCCCCGTGTGTCCTGCACCCCCCTGCCCCTATGCCCACCAAAACCCCCAAGGCCAAGGGTCATTTTCTTTAAGAATGGGCACAAACAGATATCCTACTGAATGTGTTCTTGGCCATTGCTGTGGACAACCTGGCTGATGCTGAGAGCCTCACATCTGCCCAAAAAGAGGAAGAAGAAGAAAAGGAGAGAAAGAAGCTGGCCAGGTAACCCTCTGAGCTGGCCCAGGGCCCAGTTCTGGAATGCCACTCCCCCTGGTGGTAAAGACAGACGCGGGCATGGCCTCTGTTGGCCCGCCCTCCTCCCAGAAGGCCGCTGGCATTGGGACTTCCTAAAGTGAGTCAGACCTCTCCCCGAATCCCTAGGCACTGCTCTAAAGCAGGGACTATCGTGAATTACAGTCTCTGTGAAGGTGTTGCATTTCCCCACCTGCCTAGGAAGTTAGGGCATTCCCCTTTGAGCAAAGAGGTCATCATAGACGAGGGGAGCAAAGGATGGGAAGGGGAAGGCAGTCACTCAGAGGATGAATGCAACTCCAGGGCACAGAGAGATTCCACCTCACTGTTTTGAAGGCAAAATAGGGCCCCACATTTTCTCTGTCTCTGTCAAGATGAGACTGTCATAGGCCACATATCTTTCTCTGATTTAGACGGGCTGGAGACAGCCAACTGAGTACCTGACAGAGCAAGGTGTGGCTGGTGCCTGGGCCCTGGGCCCAGCCCAGTAGCATTTGTGATCAAGCTGCATGTGGCACGTGCCCTGGGTAGAGGAAGGTGGACACAGGCACAGAGACTCTGCTCCCACTGGCCCCCAACAGACCACAGGCTAGTTCCCGTCCCTGTTCCCTATCACTCCAGTAAACATCCGTTTTGTTTTCCTCCTGCTGACCGGCCAGGACTGCCAGCCCAGAGAAGAAACAGGAGGTGATGGAGAAGCCAGCAGTGGAGGAGACCAAGGAGGAGAAAATCGAGCTGAAATCCATCACAGCTGACGGGGAGTCCCCGCCCACCACCAAGGTGAGGAGCCCTCTCCTTCCAGGAGCTGGCCGCTGGGGAAGAGGTGGTGCGGGGAACACAGTCTTCCCAGGCCAGACGCCCATGGAAAAGAGCAAGGAGGGAAAGAGACTCGGGGGACTAGGTCAGCGAGGATGAAGCAGGGAGAGCAGGAACGTGAAGAGCAGGCAGGGTGGTTGGATGCCAGCCTTCTGCTCATGTCTCAGGGGTCTGTGCCAAGTAATAAGGATGTATTTTTGCGTTAACAGTTCAGCCACTGACTATAATGTATTTCAGAACTACTCCAAGCCTTTAAGACTTGGAGCGTACCTAACCGGACTCCTCCTCCTCTCTCCCTTGGCTGCCTAGATCAACATGGATGACCTGCAGCCCAATGAGAATGAGGATAAGAGTGTCTACCCCAACCCAGAAACTACAGGTACAGTTCCACTGCCTAGCCCTGGGGGACAGGGAGAGACCCAAATTCTAAAGCCACGTGAAAGTAACCACATATTGGGGACCAATGGTTCCAGTGTTCCTTTACAAGTACCTTGAATCGCTGAATGTCTCCAGTCTCTGTACTTAAGCGTTACCAATTATCATCTGGGGGAAAACTCTGTTCCTGGTTTGCTCATAATAATAGTGTAAGATTAAATAAATTATGTTTATGTAGTGCTTTCGTGTCCTTTGGAAGATGGATTCTGTATGCATTTGAGGTTTTATTATATCCCATGTTGTAAAATCATTTTTAACTTTATATAATTTATTAGTAGAACATATGTTGCAGCATTATGCACACTAAATAATAATAGTAAATTCCAAATCTGTCTAGTCCTTACTCAGGAGGCAGTGCTGAGTACAAGGACAGCTGCCACCACAGATGTCCCACTTGTCGCTTTATGAAACGCTTTCAGGTCTCTGATTACACTACCCACTTAGTCTTCTCATCTTCTATCTGATATGTAAATCGGCAGGCAGTCTCCTTCGGAAGGGTTTACATGTCATAGTTCCTTTGGCCTCATTCCAGGATTCACTTCTCTGCCTCCTGAAACCCCACATCCTGGACCAGTCCAGGGGTTTGCCTTCCTTTTACCTACAATTGAAGATGTTATCACCAGCTTCAAGCTTGCAGTCAATTACACACAATCAAGGGACTGTTGATTTCACTGACGTTTCCTTCTCTATGTAGGTTAGACGTATTTGGGTCAGTAGCCACATTAAGTGGCTCACAACCTTCTCCATTGATAAGCAAAGCTAGGTTTTCCTTTTGCTTTTCCTCCACTCCCTCCACCAGTTGTTTCTCTGCTGGGTTCTCTGCAAGGACACTAGCAGCCACTTTCTGTCGTACCAGGAAGCGGGCTCCCTGTGGTCACTTCATTCTCTCACCTCCCTCTGCCGGGGAAAGAGGACTGGGCCTGCCGGGACTGGCACAGAAGGGCAGGACGGGTATCTCTGGATGCGGAGCCTTTAAAGTTTTAAAACCCTTCTGGGTGGAAACCGTTACAGAATTTGAAAGACAAAAATATTGGCCAAATGCAATGGGAGGATTTTGTTTGGTTGGTCCTCCATGAACAAATAAGTTTGAAAATGACTTTTTTTTTTTTTAGATAATTGGGGGAAATTGAATATGGACTGGGAGCTAAATAATTTTAAGTAGTTTTTATTAACCTTGTTAGTGTAATGATATCACTGTAATTCTATTTTTAAAATGCTGAAGTTTTTATAGCTGGAGTCTAAAATATTTAGAATTTGCTTTAAAATAGTCCAATTTTTTAAAAAATGGGGACGGGAAAGTAAATGAAACAATATAGGCAAACTGTCAGTGGTTGTTGGAGCAGGGTACGAAGGCCCACCATGCAAGTCTCTCCACTTGTAGGATTATTATAAGGAGGATGGTTATTATTAAAGTTGTAAAGAAGGGCAGTCATAATATAAGTCAGTCTGGGCCCCAAGCAGAGTCTGTCCCCTGTGCTTGAGGCTTCAGGAGGTGACCTCCCTGCACACAGCTATTTTCTCTGCGGGGAAGACACACACCTATGACAATAACCTCCAGTTTCCTCATTCTAAATATACTCACGACTTCTCTCTTCTTTGTTGCTCTAATGAAATCAAAAAGAAGCAGGTCAAGGGGAGAAAAAGACTCATGAGGATGCTATTGTCATCATATCAGCCATCAGAGAAATGTCTCTCTGTTGACCCAGCTTTAAGGATTCTTGGAATGGTTTTTCTTTCAAACTGAAAAATTATTTCCACACTCTGCTGATTCCTTAGGATTCTTCAGACTTTTTTAGGATGTGTCTTTCTCCCCAAACCCATGGCCACACTTTTCTACCCGCTTTCACACCCAGGCCTTTGTTTCTTTTGGTCCCAAGCTTCTCCTACCTCTGGTCCACAGAAAACTGAGGCTGCCCTGCCTCAGCCTCCCCCCATCACGGCCACCACTCAGGCCTTTAAAACCAGCTCTTAGGCCCCGCCCCCCATGTTCGCTATCTCTGGTTTCCATTTTTTCACCCAAGGAACAGCGGTCTTCAAGCTGGCAGCTCTGAATGCACTGCCCCCTCCTCCAAGACTAAATCAGCCTCTGCTCCCCAGCTCCTTCCCCCTCCTGTCCCCCTTCCCTGCCTCTGCCAAGCAGCTCCTGGCACCTTTAGTACACAGTGCAGCACACACCCCAGGGTCTCCCCCAAGGTCACTTGACTTGTGGACTCTGTTCTTGTCAGTGTCTCCTTCTTGCCTGCTTCTCCTCTGATCTGCTGTTGTCCTCCCACCCACTGCCTCTTCTGCTCTCACAGCTTCTGCTTCCAGGCAGCTGGCCCCTGTGGTACCCCTTGCGAGGCAGCTCTGAGGAGCATTGTCCTGCCCCACTTTCCACCAGATTTCCAGAGAGAGAAAGGACAGAGCCAGAGAACTCCCACGCTCTCCTCCTGCTCACTCCTGTCTCCCTTTGCATCCTCCCTCTCTCCAGGCTGCTGTGTTTATTTGTCCAGGCACCCAAAGGCAAGCGTGGAGCCCCTGAGCAGGGGCTGAAATGCAGCCTGTACTCTGCTGGCCAGGGCCTCTGCCCTCCCATGAATGCCCATGGAAGGGAGGGCCTGTGTCTAACTCGCAGGGCGGCCATGCAGGTCAGCAGTGGCCAGTCAGTCCTTCCCTCGTGGTTTAGTCTCCAAAGCTCACCAGTTGGTTTTAGCCTACTAGCTTAGCATACACTAAAGTTTATTTATTTATTTTTCAAAGATTTTATTTATTTATTTTTAGAGAGAGGGAAAAGGAGAGAGAAAGAGAGAGAGAGAGAGACATCAATGTGTGGTTGCCTCTCACACGCCCCCTACTAGGGACCTGGCCCTCACCCCAGGCATGTGCCCTGACTGGGAATAGAACCGACAACCCTTTGGTTCTCAGGCTGGCACTCAATCCACTGAGTCACACCAGCCAGGGCATAAAGTTAGAAATATCTACCTGCCCAGGAAGGATAGCACTGTGCTTTTAATTAATTAATTAATTAATTCAAGTGAACATACACTTGTTCTTAAGAGTCACTAAACACTTAAAGTTAACGAGCACAGTGAAGAGGAAATGTGAATGATGCCAGAGAATGGATAGGACAGAACTAGATGTCACGGGGACACTTGAACTGCTGCAAGGGGGTTCGAGGAGGAGAGCGGTGAGGTGGGGGGCGGGGCGGGGAGGCTTCATGGGCAAGGGTGGTCTTGACTGGGCTTTGAGTTCAGAGTTGGAGGGAAGAAGTTATTTCGGGACCATACTACTGTTATTAACATAGAGATGGGAGAACCCTTGGAGACATTCGTTCACTTAATAACTACTTAGGAAGCACCCGCTGTGTGCCAGGCACTGTCAGAGCTGCCTCGCAAGGGGTACCACAGGGGCCAGCTGCCTGGAAGCAGAAGCTGTGAGAGCAGAAGAGGCAGTGGGTGGGAGGACAACAGCAGATCAGAGGAGAAGCAGGCAAGAAGGAGACACTGACAAGAACAGAGTCCACAAGTCAAGTGACCTTGGGGGAGACCCTGGGGTGTGTGCTGCACTGTGTACTAAAGGTGCCAGGAGCTGCTTGGCAGAGGCAGGGAAGGGGGACAGGAGGGGGAAGGAGCTGGGGAGCAGCGGCTGATTTAGTCTTGGAGGAGGGGGAGTCTTTGGTGGGGAGGCAGACAAGGAGCAAAAAAGTAAACCAGCCAGAGAGATAACATCAGGTACTAAAACTAAGGGCTGTGTTTGAGTCACGGGGCTGCGGGGCTGCCGGGTTGGCTGTAAGTTGGCAAAGACCTGTTTGAGAATGCAACATTTGGGCTGAAAGCTGAGTGAATCATACGGAAACCTGACCCAGGCGTATGGAAACTGGAAGGAGGCGCTCTCTTGGCGGAGGTCCTGGCAAGCGCAGAACCTCTGAGGCTAAATGCACTCGTCTGTGGAATCCAGAGCGGCTAGTGAGCCTGGAGCAGAGAGAACAAAGGGGACGGGGCCAGGGGCGAGGCCTGGGCTGAGTTCAAGCAGGTGAGTAGGGCGGACTAGTGCAGGGCAGAGCAGGCCAAGTTCCTCAGAAGGAACTTAGGCAAGCACAAAGCTAGTAAGTACGTTTTTCTGTAAACATAAATGATTAAGATATCATCAACAAGAAAATGTTGGGTCATTCAGAGCAAAACAGAAAAGAATACAAACAGCTAGGCAGAGATTTAAGATTCTTAGTTAAATATCACTTGTATAGATTGATATTTAGTTCTAGTTGATGAAGGGCAACTCTAGTTTTACTTATTTTGCTTTCAGTCAAAGATTTTACCTTTCTTTTACATGCCCAGGTTTGGTATAAAAGTTTCAACCCTTGGCCTGTACGCAGTTTTTCATCTTGTGCCCCTCTTCTGCTGAAAGTATTCATCACATTGCTGGTCAGCTCTAATTACTCTAGGGAAAGCATCTAATTTATTTAATCTATATTCTGCTGGTCCTCCAAAAAAGCCTGGGATCCCAATATGCTTCTTGTTTGACAAAGAACCACATTCTCTGCCAGGCATGTCTTCCTGTGGCTTCATTTTAACCAGAGGAGAGTGTGCAGCTCATAAATGTTCCAAACTATCTTTCCAACTAGCTTAGTCTCCACCTGACCTCTTCTTTTTGCAAATTCCCCTTTCTTATAATGTTAATGTTGGTGTAGAAGTTTAACCACCAAGAAATAAGGGCTACTATGTGCCTGGCATGGTTTCACTCTCCACAGTTTTCAGCACAGAAAGAGATGGATCAGGTACATTTAAAATCAGCATCTAAGGCAAGGTGCCCTGAGTGCCGAGCAACTGTAGGAGGCCAGAGGTGCTGCTGGGACCCACAGGTGACTCCCTGGAGCCCAGGCTCTCAGGAGAGCCAGGTGAACGATGCCGTCTGAAATGGGGGTCCTTTCTTGTAGCTCTGCAGAGAGGGAGCTGATGGGCAGTTCCATTAGGGAGAGAGTGTGTGAAAAGGAGAAAGCCCATGCTGAGTGAATTCATTTTCTGGGGATGCCATAGCAAATTACCACAAGTAACAGAGATGCGTTCCCTCACAGCCCCCAAGCTCAGACATCTGAAGTCGAGGGGTTGGCAGGGCCACACTCCTAAAGACTCTAGAGAGGACCCCGCCGTGCCTCTTCCTAGTTTCCGCTGGCTGTCAGCAGTCCTTGGTGTCCTGTCTCACTCCAGCCTCTGCTTCTGTCTTCACAGGGCCTTCCCCCTGCATGTGTCTGTGCCTCTCCTTAGAAGGACAACAGTCCTTGGATTTAGGGCCCCCCTTAGTCCCGTATGACTTCATCATAACTAATTACATTTGTGAATTGAAGCTATTTCCTAAATGAGGTCGTGTTCAGAGGTTCCAGGAGGGCATGAATGCTGTGGGCATTGTTTAACCCAGTACAGCAAGTGTTCATAAAATAGTGTGATGTGAGTGGAAATTCTGTCAGAGTATAACAGCAGGCAAAGATCAGACTGAGAGAGGTGCTTAGCACTAATTTACAGATAAGAGTCTTGCCCATGGATAGAGATAGTAAAAACAACAGTTAACATGCTATGTGAACCATTCGAAGGTACGTATGAATTATTATCCCATCTTACAGGTGGGAAAACTGAGGCACAGAGAGACTAAATAAAACCCCTGTAGCCAGAAAGAAACGGAGCCATGATTTAGATCAAGACATTGGCTGAAGAGTCTATGTCTTAACTCCCATTCGCCTTCTAAACATTTTAAAGGCATTTGATCAGAACAGGGCATGCACTGGTCTCCTTCTATGGGCAGTGAACTTGCAAGCAAAGGGAGAGGTCATTTACCTCAGGTCCACATTAAATGTGGCCACTGGCTGGGAGAACAAAGAAGTGTCTAGACATTTGAATGAAGAACATGTTGCAGTCAGCATTACTGCCCCATTGTCTCTACAGCACATATTTTTTTGTATTCTCAGGAATGGGGAGGTATCAAGGATAGGGGTGTTTGCAAGGGATCCCACAGGTCAACTGAGCCATACCTTTTCCCCTACCCTGGCGATGCCCTAGTCTAACCTGGTCTCCTTTTCTAGTGCGTTACAACTAGAATGATCAACCGTCCCAAATTGCATGGGACTGAGGGGTTTACTGGGATGTAGGAATTTCAGTTTCAAAACTAGTACAGTTCTGGGAAAACTGGCATGAGTTAGGCACCTTACTTAAAACCCCCGTATCATGTGCTGCCAGGAACATCTCTAACGTGGATGATCTCCAGCAGTGCCGCAGGGAGAGAGCTGAGTGTATGTTTTGGTTGGTATCCTGTTTTTTTGAAATACAAATGATATCTTGGCTCCTGTCAGTTTGAAGGTATCTGAAGTAGGTGGCACAGTGGTAAAAAATACATGGGAGTAGTGAAGTTGTTTAGGAAGTGTTTTGTTTTGTTTTTTTCTTTCAGGAGAAGAGGATGAGGAGGAGCCTGAGATGCCTGTGGGCCCACGCCCACGCCCACTCTCTGAGCTGCATCTTAAGGAGAAGGCAGTGCCCATGCCCGAAGCCAGTGCATTTTTCATCTTCAGCCCCAACAACAGGTGTGTGAGAGCAGTGGGGAAGGTGGGATTGTGCTCGCCCCGTGACCCAAGGCCAGCAGGTGCCAACCTCTGGCTGGAGCCGGGGACCGCCCCAACGGCCTGCAACCTGTGTGAAGGGAGGGACGCTTTGTCCCTCAGCATGTTAAATGTATTGTTCCACTGCAAAGTCAGCTTAGAAAGCCTGTGTTTATTTTTCTCTTCATTTTTTGAAATGCATAAACTCTATTTCTATTCTTTTGATGATTAATCTTGGTAATTAGTAAGTCTATGTAATTTAACAAAGTCTAAAGCCAAACAATATCTTTAACTTGGTGCTCAATAGAAGGAGCTTAGATTATTTTAACTCCTCTCAACCCCTCCTACCTTACACATTATTGTCGATTAGTATTTAGTTCCAACCTTTATTTTTAACCCAAGTTAGGCATCGTTAGCAGTATTATTATGTAAACTAAATATATTTGGATTTACGTACAATTTACCAGTTCATCCTTCTGCAATCACTTTTTTCTCTTTTCAATTACAGTTGACATACAATATTATATTAGTTTCAGGCGCTCTAAACCATATTCTTTAGAAGTTCCTGTAATTCCTTTATGATAAATTCAATTGGCCTCTCTCTGTTTATCTGTAATTGTTTCCAGTTCTATGTACATAGTTTTATATTGACAGGTTTTGTCCCTCAGCCTGTTAAGTATGTTATTCCACAGTAAGATTGGCTGTTATCCCTAATTCCTACCATCCTTTCTTTGTAGGTAACCTGTCCCTTCCTTATCTCTAGCTGCTTTCACCATTTTCTGTTGCCTCTGATGTGCAGATTTGCTACCATGTGTCTAGACATGGACTCTTCCATTTATCTTGCTTGGGATATGTTATGCTTCCTAAGTCTATGGATTTATATTTTTCTTCAGTTCTTGATGGCATTGGAAATTACAGTAGAACTGCTAATTCTTGAAAAATTATAGCCGTAACCTTTTAATATTGCCCCTCCTCATTCTCTCTATTCTTCTTTCCTTCTGGTACTTTACTTAGACATATGGAAGACCTTCTCATTCTATCTGCCCTGTCTCTTAATGTGTCTTGCACATCTTTCATCTCCTTATCTCTCTTTTGGTATGCTGGGTAATTTCTTCAGATATATCTTCCAATTTCTTAATTCTCTCTTCAACTTTGTGTTAAATCAGCTTTTATGTTGACTGTTATATTTTTTTCATTTCAGGCAGTTCCTTGATTTGTTGCTTGATTTTCTGGATTCATCTGTCTATATCTAACACCTACCTATTAATTTATCATCTTTGTGATCAAGTCCTTTATTTCATTAAATATTTCAGATACAGTTGCCCTTTATTCCATATCTGATATTTTTAGTGTTCACAGACTTTGGTGGAGAGGGGGAATCTAAATCAATGATTCATTGTGTTTTTTTCTGATTTTCCATCTTAGTAGCTTATCTTCTTTTATGTTTAATGATCTTTGATTGTGGCCTCAGTGCTGCATATTAATTGGTGAGGTTCATGTGGCCCAAGTTACTATTGGGGAAGCTTTCTTCCAGATGCTCCTTGCTTGAAAGGATGTTTCCTGATAGCAGTGCTGATGCTGGAAGCTCTGCCCTTCTTGGCTTCCTACAACACAGACCCCAGATTGGAGGATTTTTTTTGTTTGTTTGTTTGCTTGTTTGAAGGGATGGTCAGTGCAGACTTCTAAATCTCATGAAACCAGAATTGTCACCCTGGATGGCGTGGCTCAGTTGGTTGCAACATCATCCCGTAACTGATACGTTGTGGTTTCGATTCCCCATCAGGGCACATACGTAGGTTGTAGGTTTGGTCCCAGGTCTGAGTGTGTGCGATCCCTGGTTGGGGTACAATGGGAGGCAACTAATTGATGCTTCTCTCTGGCATTGTTTCTCTCTCTCCCTTCCTCTCTCTCTAAAGGTGATGAAAGAATGTCCTCAGGTGAGGACTTAAAAAACAAAAACAAAAAACTGGAATTGTCTCAAAGAGCTTGCCCTTTCCAGAGTTTGGTGTTTCTGCAGCAGTAGGGTCTTTCAAAACATTTAGTCAGCCACTGTGTCAGGAGCAGAGGTCTGAGGCCTGATTTTTGCCAAGCCCCCACTCTCTCACTCTACAGGTTGTGTTTCTGGGCAAGCTTCTCCTTCTCGATTTCATTGTTTTTACTTATAAAATGAAAACAATGACATCACCCATATCCTCTTTTTAAATTGTCAAGATGAGACAGTACATGAGACAGCCTTGGCATTTGAGGATATAACATTTGTGGTACTATCAGTGAGTGTCCAGAGGCCCACGTGTATAGCTCTTTGTAACCGTGTTTACATATGGAATTGAATTGTACACCTTGAAGCTATTACAGAGAGTATACCACCTCAGCGGAGTGTAAGTTCAGCCATTCTCTTACAGTCCACAGCTCTGGGTGGCTTTGTGGTTCTCTGTACGTAAAAATATGAAGTAGGTCTCAAAATGGGTCTTTTAATGGTGGGGAAAAGAAGTCCCACAGCAGAAGCCAGTTGTTAACATCACAGCGGTATTTGAAAGGTCTCAGGTGTAACCCTCTAAAATGTCAAAACTTTACTGTCGGTGAACAGGCTTTAACACAGCAAAGTCCTGTGCACACGGGCCTTGTGGTGGGGGCAGGGTCATGGCTGTGGTTCCCTAGCAACAGGAAGACTTCAGGCTGAAGAACCCACTCCCCAAACTGACAGACACCTTCCAGATGCTGAAAGGAGAACCTGGGGCTCCTGAGACCCAGGGAGCTGCTTTACCTGCCTTCCTGACATGTTTCTCTTCTTCTCTCCTTCACCTCATGCAGGTTTCGCCTCCAGTGCCACCGTATCGTCAATGACTCCATCTTCACCAACCTGATCCTCTTCTTCATTCTGCTCAGCAGCATTTCCCTGGCTGCCGAGGACCCTGTCCAGCACACCTCCTTCCGGAACCATGTATGCATTGCCTTTGTTCTCTGCACCCCTCCTCCCGGGAACGTGACTGGGCCCACAGCTTCTGTTGCTGACCTCATTGTTCAATCAGGAGCCCAACTCCAAATCTCATAGTCAAATACACAGTAAACGTTTCTTTAAGAGATGAAGACTTTGGTAGAAACCATCCAAGGACCACAAGCAAGTAAGAGAACATGTACCCAAATACCTCAGGCTGGCCTGACTGGCAAGGATCAGGACTTTCATTGTCCTGTGGATGTTTCCCAAGGAAGCTCTGGTTTCCTGTAAAGTTAGTAAAAGGATAACCAGTGACTTCCTGACTTGCTCTCTGTATGTCCTGACCAGTCGTAATCATTAGGGAGACAGGGCACATTGGCAAATAGATGCCAGTGTTAAGGCTGACCTTATATAAAAGAGCTTCGGTGACCTGTGGAATAGAAAACTAAACTTGGAGGCCCACCCAAGGCTCCGGTGACAACATTAAAGGCTAGCATAAGAATTGCTCTATTTCAGAGCCTCAAAACAAATTCCAACCAGGTGGGCATGAAGAGAGGAGCCTGCCAATCTAAAGCCATAGTGGTGCAAACCACTTGGCAGTGCTGCTTGGTCCAGAGCTTTTTTCCTGAGAGAGGTATTGGCCCTAGCTCTGATCCACTGAGATACAATAAAACACGAAGGCATGCAGCCTACTGCCAGCCTGGGGGGTGCACCCTCATGTGCCCCAAAAGACACTACACCAGTGTAAGTCTCCACCAACATGAAACACTAGCTGAGACATAAATGTTAGTTAAGCACTTGGCATCTTCCTGCAAAAACAAACAAACAAACCCAACTCTGGTTATTTTTTGACAAGTGTTTGTCTCAGTGGTCTGATTTGGGTTTGATTAATGAGAAAAGCATCAAACCAGAGGCTGTACAGACTCAGGAGCAGCCAAGGCCTGCCCCGAAAGCCCCCCTCACACATCTGGGGGCTGCGTCCAGAGCCACTCAGGTGCCCAAGGCCAGTCCACTTCAGGAGCCAGTGCTGTGTGTGCCACTCGTCTCCGAACACATTTCTACTTGTCTCCATGTGGGAAGGCTCAAGTAGAATGTATTGCGGTTTTGAAATGTGATTTTTTTTCTGGTGTACACCCACTGACCTCTCTTCCCATCCTGCTTCCTCCCTTTCCCTCCCCATGCCCACTCTGTTTCTTTGTTTTGCAGATTCTGTTTTATTTTGATATTGTTTTTACTACCATTTTCACCATTGAAATTGCTCTGAAGGTAAAGTCCCGACCTCCCTCCTCCTCCGGCACACAAGCTCTCTGCTGCTGTCTTTCCCTAACACACATGCTCCTGTTGGTGTCCGGTTCCCTCTCAGAGCCACTAATCCAATTGTGCTTATTTTTCAGATCCTAGGCAATGCAGACTATGTCTTCACTAGTATCTTTACATTAGAAATTATCCTTAAGGTAATGCAATCTGAGAAATGCATTCTTTCTCTTTCTCTATCTCTGCCCTGGCTGCCTGTCTCTTTTTTTCTCATGTTTCTTTTACTCTCTCTTTTTAACTCTCAAGCCTGAAATCAGAAGAATTAGGGCCCCTGGCTTTGCACTAGCGCTCTGCTCAGGCTCAGAAGCCAAAAGAACCCCCACTTCCCCCCACCCGCCTCCTCTCAGCCTGGCATTTGGCAACCAGTGTTAACACTGGTGCTGTCCTGCCACCGGGTCGGGCCCTGTGCCGGCGAGCAGCGCCCCAGGCCTGCCGCACACACCACCTCTGGGCAATTGGCGCCTGACCCTCCTTGGAACTCCTTCCCTCCTCCCGCCCAGGAGGTGCCACACAAACTGCGAAGGTGGAAAAGCTCAGGGGCCACGGCAGAGTCACTTTGGCTACTTACTCCCTTTGATGCCCTTCGTCAATAGCTTCCTCAGTGCTTGCAGCAGATACTGGACCTAACCCAAGGTTTGGGGCCAGTCTCCCCACTGAGAGCTGCTGATAGATACTCTACATGACTTCTGAACCCTCGGTTACCTGCTTAAAAGCTTTGTTGCGACGCCCCTTTGTCCTGAGAACTGAGGAGGGGAAATAATACTGGAGACCAAGTACAGGGAGTAAGAACCAAGTGCTGGAAGAACCTGGAGCGCCCAGGCCCCAGGGCCCAGACTTGAGAGCTGACGGCCAGCAGCCCCCAGGGCAGGCAACCTCATCTGCAGAAATGCAGCATCCCCTCTATCCTGAATGGGCAGCGCCTGCCTGCGACAGCACTCGGATAAGGCGGGGGTTTTCTAAGTTTTTTATTATTACTTATATTAATACACAATTAATAGGTTACTTTTATTTTATTATGATTGCTAAGTTTTTCCAGTATACCTCTGAGCCTCTAACAAGTACACCTCCCACACCAGTTCATCTGAGACATAGGGTGCGAGTTCTGAGATGTGGGAGGAACGCATTTCTGCATTTGTCCTCCTCTCCGAGGGAGGTCATGGGTCTTACCCTAACCCAGACACAGCCCCAGCAGAAGCGCCAAAGGCTCCGAAGCACACGCTGCAGCTTCGTGTCTTCTTCCTGGGACACTTTCCTGGGCTGCTGCTCCCAAGGAGTCCAGGTCCCCGTTTCACCTCTTCAGGTGGCTGATGCAAACTAGTGTCCACACCTGTCCCTTCTTTTCCTGATGGCACTCCCAAGCCATGACCCAGCCTTTAATGTATGTGACAGTTCTGTCATTTCCAGTTACAATTTGATTGGGGAAGGGGTGTGTGTGTGTGTGTGTGTGTGTGTGTGTGTGTGTGTGTGTGTGTGTCTTTTGTCCAGACGCCCAGCCTCTATCTCTGGTTCCAGCTAACAGGAGTGTTTCTCAAGTTTTCTCTTTGCTCAGCAGAGTAGATCTGGGCAGGTCCTGGTCCCTGGGGCGGGGAGAGGGGACCAAGAGTAGCCCGGCTGCATTAGAAGGCAATGCTGGAGAGCCCCCTTTCTAGGAAGGACTGATTGTTTTCAGACTTCAGACTCAGGGAGGCACAGAAACACCCCACGTTCTTTCCTGCAACAAGAAAAGCTATGAGGCCCAATTCTTAGTACCCTCTACAGAGCTTCCCAGTGGATTTCAATGGTGCCGTCTGCCATAAACACTGCCATACAAGCAGAAGTGAAAGGCCTCTTCACAAGCGTTGTCCTGGCAGACCCTTCCCTTCCACCCTCCCCCTCTTCTGCTTAACTCTCTTCTCACCGTGCTTCTAAACATCAATGCCGACCCCCATACCCTTCCTGCACCTCCGTCCCCCTGGACCCCTCTGCCGGGCCTGAGGGCCGAGCGTCCTGCCCCGGCACAGGCAAGGGCAGTCATCCAAGAGGAGCGCCTAGTATCAGGGGCGGATGAAAGACCTGGGGATCTTGGGCCTTAAAGAGAAAAGGCTTGTAGGGCCACAACGGTTGGACTGTCTCCTAGAGGAGGAAGGAGCTAGAACCAGGACCAATTTGCATAAATTACAAAAGATGAGATGCAGTCAATAACTGGACTCACCACCTACGGAAGCGGTGGTCACCCATGGCTGCTTTTCCAACTCAGAGTCAGTGATCCTCTGTCCCTCTCCTTTTCTCTCCTCAGGCTGACAATACCCCAGCAGGGGGCTTTTCCTAGACAGTGGCTTAGAACTGTTAGGAAGCAGGCACTGGGGGGCAGCAATCAGCAAAACAGGGTAAAGGACAGACTTTCCCTGGGGGCCTGAACCTGGCTTTTTTTGATGTCACAGGTAGTTTTCAAGCAAATACTCCATTTTTTTTGGCATCCACTTGCCTTTCCTCTTACAGCAACTCTTCCTATGGCCCTGCCTGGGCATGTGTCCCTACACACACACACACACACACACACACACACACACACACACACACACACACTTTTGCCCCTGACAAAACAGAGGCCCAAGTCAAAGGACAGAAGCTGGTGCTCTGAGCCCTAGCCATCCACCTAATGGAGACATGCTTTCCCCCGAATGCAGATGGCTCAGCTGGGCTCAGTAGAGTCCTCACAATATCCAAGCCAGGAACAAGGTGGGAGGAGACCCAGGGCCTTCCCTAAGACGGAGAGTCAGATGGCCAGCAAAGGCCTCGGGCTTCAGCAGGCACAGAGTGCTCCGGTCAGCATGAACCACAGGAGCCACCCGGTCCGCTCTCTGGGTTCCGCAGCCTTCACCGAGAGGCAAGGGCGGCAGGCCTCTCCAGGTGGCAGGCCTTCAGGGGCGCTCTCCGACCGTATTCCCCTGCAATGTGTATTCCTTCCCCTTTTATATAATCTGCTCACTTCTAGAAACTGTTGCAGGACACAGGTGCCTGAGTCCCCTGTGACCCCCTGCAGCAAGAGATAAATGGAAAGAATTAGGTTGCAAGAGCTATTTTTGCCAAATTCCCCGGCCTTTGCTTTTGAATTGCTCTGCAGACATGCTGCCCTGGGCGTGCTCTGATCCAGAGAGGTGAGCCGCTCTCAGCCTCTCATCCAGTGGCTTCAAATGTGTCCTCTTGGCTGATGCTTTGTGACCCGTGACCTTTCATAGCCCTCAACCTGGAAATCCATTGCCCTTAGTTCAAGTCAGCAAAATTGGAAAGGTTATTTGTTGAACACCTAGAGCGGCTTCATGCGCAGCTCTGAGGGAGGTAATAATAGCCAAGTATGTGGAAGGAATATCCATCATTCCACGTGTTCCCTTTTGGTTTTCCAAGGGCTCTCATGTGGTTTCCAGAATGCGGTATGTGCCTGAGAAAGGCAGGGAATCATGTGCCCACTTTATAGATGAGGAAACAGCTTCCCCCATGCAGAAAGAATCCAGAGTTCATATCCAAGCTGTCTGGCCCCAACACTTACATAGCACTTGCTATCAGCGAGATACTGTGCTAAGTGATGTCCATGTAATAACTTCCCTGAAGCTTACAACCCCATAGGGGAGATATGATCAGTTCCTCCCGTTCTGAAACAAAGGACAGTTAAGTAACTTGCCCACACCGCACAAATAAAACAATGGGGTTGGGATTCGAACTCAGATTGCCCAGCGCCAGGGTCTGTGCTCTTAAACTGTACCACACAGCCCCTCTGAACACAGAGCTCTGGCCCTTCAAGAACTTGCGGTCTAGAAGCAAGACAGTAGAACTGAGTTTAGACTATTTGGCACAGATCAGAAGTACTTTTGAGGTTAGGAAGTGGAGGGACGCCAATGGCCAGAGTTATCGGTAGAACTTCTCATTGGGCAGCAGAGGACAACCTGTCCCGATTTGCCTGAGACTGAGCAGCAACCTGGGACCCCAGACTTTCAGAACTGACCTGGGAAAGTCCTGGGAAGCTGGGATGGTTGTGACCCTCCCAGGCATGCCCACCGTCCCCCCTGGATGACTAGTGTCCTAAGCTGGCCCTGAGGCAGACGGAATTTGGAGAGGAGGCTGGTCAGGACAGTACAGCACAGGGCCCCTCGGGGTGGCGTCACAGACGTGTGCTGAGGAACCGTAGATAGCGAATGAGAAAGGGACAGCGGCCTGATGTGAAAGGGCCTCGAATACAGAACTGAAGAGTCTGGAGCGGCCTGGTAGGTGGGAGCCACTGGTATATCCTGAGCTGGGGATTCTTTGGTGGCTGTATAAACGGTTGCAGAACCCTTTTCTGGCACTGTCCTTCTTCGGTCCTGCCTGCGCCCCAGCCCTCTGTCACTTCACTGCTCTTCAGCGGGGCCCGCCGCAGGGTGCTGGGGGAGGGAAGGGCGGTGTGAGGGGCTGTCTGGGGCTTGGGCAGGCGCCACTCACACCGGTGTTTCTCCGTGCCTCCCTGCAGATGACTGCTTATGGGGCTTTCTTGCACAAGGGCTCCTTCTGCCGGAACTACTTCAACATCTTGGACCTGCTCGTGGTCAGCGTGTCCCTCATCTCCTTCGGCATCCAGTGAGTAGGGCTGCTCCACCATGATGGGGCGTGCAGCTGGGAATGGGTGTCAGAGAGGACATAAGACTCTGGAGGGCCTCCCTGCACCCCACATGGGCCTGAGAAGGGGTTCATGCAGGGCCTCTGGTTTGTACAATGTGGCAGCTTTCATTTCTTGTGCCCGTGTCGTCCCCTCAGTGGTGTCACACTTGAGGTATGTCAATCCAGCAAGAATACAGTGAAATGTCTGGATCTTTCCATGGTGGGAGGACCAGGCCCACTTATAATGGGAAGAACGTCGCCAGGCCTTCCTACCCCCTCCACCATGCACCCAGTGCCCCTGGCCGCCCTCAGCTCCACGGACCTGCCATTGCCACCATCTGCCCTGATCTCTGGTCCATTCTCCCTCCCTTCCTCTCACCTCTGTCTCCAGTCAAAGCACCTGGTGAGAGAGGGATGGAGGAAGGGAAGGAAGGGGAAGGTGGAAGACGGGGGAGAATTATTCTCCATCTTGGCTACAAAGCGGAACCACCTAAGTAGCTTTTAAGAAGACACTTGCCTCAGAGATTGTATGTAATTGGTCTGGGGTGCAGCTCAGGCTTTAAGACTTTTGAAAGTTCTCCAGGCGATTCCACTGTACAACCAAGGTTGTAAACTTGCTCCGGTTGAAAAGACTGATTACAAGTTTCTCCCAAGTTTTATCAGCGAATGATGCTAATCCTGCACTTGAACTTCCCAAGCACTTTCACATACACATTCTTCTAGGGTCGTCACAAAAACCTATGAGGTGGGCAGGGCAAGCGGAGCTATCCCAGTTTATAGAGAGCAAAACTGAGCTTCAGAACATTATGAGACTTGCCCAAGGCCACACCGATGGCAAAGAAAACAACTCTGGGTCTCCCCTCCCAAGGGGTTTTTATGGTCAGCCTAGAATATCTGGAGATGGGGGTGTTAGAAGTCAGACTCTCCTCTAAACATCAATAATATGACCCACAGCCGTCTGCTCATTACGCCTACAGGTCTGATTGTAATCCAGCACAACCATGAAATCACTATTTAACCTTGAATCAAGAACTCCCCTCTTTAGTTTGTGCTGTTCCCATGTACCTTTAAATCCCTTCCATCATAACTCAGTGCAAACCGACTCCCTCTCTGAGATACCCGGATAGATAGGAATGTCTTTTGAATCCTTTGGAATAAAAGAGCCATGAACCAGAGAAATCAGATCTTTCTACCAGCTCCCTCTTGAGTGCATCATCCTGACCAGCTGAAGAATGAACTTAGCACTTGCTGGCCTGTCATATATTTTCTAGGTCCCAAGGTGAGCATAATGCTCTCTGAAAGCTAGAGAACATTATCTCAGTCAGATGGTTAGCATCGCAAGGGTTAGGATTCACTTCAGAGTTGCTCACCAAGCTGGCGACGTGAATAAGGCCACCTGGGTTGATGGGTAGCCCCTCCTGCAGGGGGGCTGCTGGGGCTGGTGCCCTGGCGCCTCCTTTCCACTAGGGACAACAGTGTCCCGAGGCTCCCAGAAATTTTCTGTGGCCCTGGCACCCTAGGTGTGTGGGACCTATTGTATAGAATCATCCCTTCAAGTCCTGACTGAGCTATGAACCAAGGTGTTTTACATATAAGTATACTGGGCAACTACCTGGCACACATATTTAGAAATGAGCACCAAAATATCTACTGCGGTGCCATGTACCTCCTACCACAGGCCTGCAGTGCCACAATTTTTGTAGTATTTCAAGTTCAGTGATATCTTCTCAGACATAATAATAAAGCTACCATTGATTCAGTTTACAGTATCCAAGCGCACTGCTAGATGACTTACATCTTATTAATCCTTGCAACAACCTTATGAAGTGATTGCTACCCAGTTTTACAGATGAAGAAACAAGGGCTCAGGAAAGTTAGGAACTGATCCTCAGGGACTTGCTGGTACATGGCAGAGCTGGGTTTGAACTCAGGTCTGCACATCCAAAGCCGTCTCTGTGATGACTCTAGAGGCCCCTGAGTAGCACATGATGTCACTAGTGACTCCTGGTGAGTTGCTTTTCACGTTATTTACTCACCACAGGAAAGTCCAGGTGGCAGGCAAGCCTCAGGTCCCCATGGGTCCCCACGGGGTGGGAACCCCTTCTTCAGGGTCCCTGGGGTGAGAAAGCCCCCTTCACATTTTCACAGGTTTGCCTGGGGTCAGTCTGCCAGGACACCCCTCACCACATTACCTACTACTTTACCAAAAACAGGAGACGCTCACTCCCTGCCCCACTTCTCTTTCCCAGGTCCAGTGCAATCAATGTTGTCAAGATCTTGCGAGTTCTGCGAGTCCTCAGGCCCCTGAGAGCCATCAACAGAGCCAAGGGACTAAAGGTGAGAAGGGAGGCCCTGAGCGGGGAGCCATCAACCCTGCGAGCGTCCACCAGTCTGTGGCCTGGCAGGAGCTAAGCTGAGGTGAGGGGTAGGCTGCAGGGGGAGGGAACGGTCAGATCGAGCACCTGCCCCGTTGGAGCCTGAACTCTTCTGCCTGCTTGTCCAGTCCCACTTCAAGAACCGTGATGGGCGGCCACTTAAAATCTGAACTCCTAAGCAAAACTTGTGCAAAAGGAGACCCACACACAAGCCCCTGCCCCCAGTGGCAATGAGGCCCCTCTGTTCCCTGATAAAATGAGAAGTTAGCAGGGCTTTCATCTCTGTGGTTACCTGGAGCCCAGTGGGGGCCTTTGTGTTCCACTGGGTTCATCCCCATGTGGCCCTGGAAGGTGTTTGCCTCTTTGAGTCAGAGGTGCCTGCTGTGGTTAAGGGCTGCCCATGCTGCCTTCTCGGAGAGGCTCATGCTTAGGCAAAGGAAGCTCAGGCTACAGGCATTCCCTGAACCCACATCCCCTTCCCACCTGCTCTCCCACTGCAGCATGTGGTTCAGTGCGTGTTCGTCGCCATCCGGACCATCGGGAACATCGTGATCGTCACCACGCTGCTTCAGTTCATGTTCGCCTGCATCGGGGTCCAGCTCTTCAAGGTAGAGTCTTGGCTCTCATTTGTCTTGGCTCCTCCTTCTCCTCCTATCAGGATTCCTGGGAAAGGGACCCAGCAGATACAGCAGAAAGAGGGCCATGGCCTGGTCAGACTCGGGGTGAAAGTCGCCACAGCCCTGCTCTCAGCTTCCTAGACCGGAAGAGGGATGGGCTTGGAAGGAGGCATTGCTTCACCAGGCAAAGACCCGCTTGCCCACTAAGCGCTGCCTGCCCTTCAGGCCTCATCCTTCCTTCGGGCAGGAAAGGGAGAGGGACTTCTCTGCTCTGAAACCTCCGTGTCAGGCACCTGCGCAAAACCTGCAGTGCTTCTCTTTTGTCAACAGCACCAAGTCGCGCCCTCCCGCCCCACGTTCAGAGCCCTGCCTCTCCCCAGGCTCTCTCTCACTGCCCCTGACAAGGCCCCTCAGCTCCAGGTTGGCCAGCATCCCTGGCTTCCACTCTTTCCTGCCTTAATCCTTTTATTTCTGTTGTTCTCCCATTGGAAGCCTTCTCCCCCCTGCCCTCTCCCACACACCCAGTAAACTGCCACTGATTTTCTCCCACCCAGTTCATCGCTCCAAGCCCAGCTCCATTTCTGTTTTCCTCATGAGACCTCCTAAGGAATTCGCGCTCTTGGAGCAGAGCTCTCTTTGTTGAATTCCACTGTTCCCGTGGCTCTGACTGCTTTATGTACGTGACTAAGGTCTTCACCTGGATGCTCCTTTCCTTGTGCTTTTTGTTCCCACTCCCTAGCACAGGGGTCCCCAAACCCTCGGCCATGGGCTGGTACCAGGCCATGGCCTGTTATGAACCGGGCCATACAGCAGGAGGTAAGCAAGCAAAGTTTCCTCTGTACTTACAGCTGCTCCCCATCATTCACATTACCACCTGAGCTCTGCCTCCTGTCGGATCAGCGGGAGCCTTAGATTGTCCTAGGAGCACGAACTCTACTATGAACGGCATATGCGAGGGATCTGGGTTGCACACTCCTTATAGGACTCTGATGCCTTATGATCTGAGGTAGAGCTGCGGCGGTGATGCTAGCATTGGGAACGGCTGCAAATACAGATCATCATTAGCAGAGAGGTGTGGCTGCACAGAGGCCATAATAAATCAATTGCTTGCAGACTCATATCAAAACCCAATCAGTGAGTGGCAAGTGACAATTAATCTACATCTGGTGGCAGGCTATAAAGCCATCCCCCCTTCCCCATCCATAAAAAAATTATCTTCCATGAAACCGGTCCCTGGTGCCAAAAAGGTTGGGGACCGCTGCCCTAGCACATTTTTTATTGATTCATTGATTAATGAGCATCTCCAATCTTATTTATTCTTCTGCCTTCCAGGGAAAGCTCTACACCTGTTCAGATAGCTCCAAGCAGACCGAGGCAGAATGCAAGTGAGTGCAGACTGGCGGGTGGGCAGGCTTACTGGGTCAACTCAGGGGGGTTGCTGACTTGGTGTGAGAGGAGGGACAGCCTGTTCTTTCTCAGACAGCAGTGGCAGCTGGACTTTTACCCAAGGGTAATCTGGTCCCATGGGTATAACACGTCACAGGTTCACCCACTGAATTTCTTCCCAATGACTAGAACTGTGGGGTTTAAGCCTAACTAGCCCCATCCCACCCAGTATGCCAAGAGTCAATGGTGGATCAGGTGTGAAAGGAGATGAGAGACCCCCAGAATTGATATTTTTTCTTCCTTTCTCAGGGGTAACTACATCACATACAAGGACGGGGAGGTTGACCATCCCATCATCCAGCCCCGCAGCTGGGAGAACAGCAAGTTTGACTTCGACAATGTTCTGGCAGCCATGATGGCCCTCTTCACTGTCTCCACCTTTGAAGGGTGGCCGGAGTGAGTATGCAAATGAAGACCTATCCACCCTGATATTAGAGGCCAAGACATTGTCCTCATACACATTCCCCAAGTTTTATTCCTGTCCCACACTCCTTCCCAGAAGTCCTGCTTACCAGCTTCCTCCCCAGGGAGTATGGGTGTGTAGGCCATTATCACTGTTGAAACAGAGACTTTTCTTTCTCTAGAAATGTTAACATTTCAGAAACTCCAACCAAAAGTGAGCTGTTTTTAGCACCCCTTCCCAGCCTCAGAGTGAGCCCCGATGATAGGAGTCTCTTGTCATCAACTTCACAGCACCCGGGAGTGGGTGTGGGGAGGGCTTCTCCAGTGTGGCCCTTGGACCACCATGGGATTCAAGATTATCACTCCCAGCATGCACTCAACATGGGTGAAGATGGTGGAGATGTCTGTTTTACTAGCCTCCTTAGAGAAAGCTGTGCCTGTGTTTACGGTGGAAAGTAAGTAACGGATGGAAGTCTGGGTCCAAGTTTCTCTGCAAGGGCAGTGTAATCATGCCTAGACCACCAGCTGGATGGCCTTTACACTGTGTCACTTGTACCAAGCAGGGTGTCCATCAGGTGCTGTATACATCTTTGTACAGACACCCGCTCCCCACCCCACTTTTGTATACCGGGGAAATCATCATCTGGAAGTCAGAAAATTCTACATATTTATAAGTCAACAATAGCACATGGATCTTACATAAGAGTCGCCATTATTATATGGTAAAATATAGCTGATACCTAGAGGATAACCAAGTACTGTGCTAGGTAGGAACAGGAGTGGAGGCAGTCCCTGTACATGAGGAGGAACAGGCGTGGTGGGCACAGAGCCCAGGCCCAGATGGGCACACATACATGTATACCACCTAAGTGTAAACCCGAACCATTGCTCGTGATCTCAATAAGCCTGGGTCATTGGTTATCCAGTATTTTTATCCAAATGGATATTAGATCTCTGATACATTTATTTTATGTTCACTGTCAGTTTACAAAGCTATTTCAATACTTACCAATATTTCTAGTATTCGAAATCAATGTCCATGATTCGTGTTACATTAAAATAATTCTTGACAGTTTCAAAACACCTTCATATATGTTATGTCAACCACCTTGCCAGGTAGGAAAGTCAGGAATCATTGTCTCCATTTTGCAGATAAACAACCTGAGGCTCAGGGAGGTTATGTGATTTGACCAAGGTCACAAGGCACTCTGGCATAGCTGGGACTTGAATCCAGATCTTCTGACTCCCAGCCTAGAGCTGTTTCCAGCACCCCTGAGCCCAGGGACCACTAGGAGCATCAGTGCCATCATTCCACAGAGGTGACGCTGCTTCTCTAGTTCCCTCTGTGGGGTTTGTCTCCTTCTCCAGGCTGCTGTATCGCTCCATTGACTCCCACACGGAAGACAAGGGCCCCATCTACAACTACCGTGTGGAGATCTCCATCTTCTTCATCATCTACATCATCATCATTGCCTTCTTCATGATGAATATCTTTGTGGGTTTTGTCATCGTCACCTTCCAGGAGCAGGGAGAGCAGGAGTACAAGAACTGTGAGCTGGACAAGAACCAGGTAGGTTCCTCAGAAGGAGAGGAACAAGGTGGTGAGGGGGAAGCAGGGCACATGAGGAATGACAGCAGTTGGCAGCCTGAGGCCCACCCAGAAGAGAAGCTGTGGTCAGGAGACAGATCCACATGTGTACTACAATCATCAGTCTGCTCCTCAATGAGAACAAGGCTCCCAGTCTTCTGGAAGAGCCTGAGCAAAAGAAATGCAAATCCCAGATCTGCCAACGGCATTCATTCAGCCAACAAACACTTGTTAAGTGCCTACTTAGGTAGACTCTATGATAGACTTTGAGAAGATAAAACCTCGTTCTGTCTCTAGAAGCTGATGAATTAGAAAGTGCACATATGGGTTGGCCCCATTGGTAAAGGGGAAAGAAACTAGAACAACGAGGGCATGAGAGTTTTGGGAGTGGAGAAGAGCACAGCATTAGAAAACCACTATTAAATGTTTTCTCAAGTAAAACCCAGAGGCCCGTGCATAAAGTAGGGGCAAGAAAGAGGCCTAAGTAGGAATGCTTTGGTAATGCCCGGAACTGCAACATGCTCTGTTAGTTTGTGAGCAAGAGCTGGCTGCTCCACTGGTGAGGAATGAAGCTATTAGAGTGGGTGATAGCGTGTAGTCACTGGGGTCAGGTCCCCTGCTAGTTTTCCCCATGGGAAGAGTTCATGGGGAAGTAAATCCCCGTCTATGGGCAACTTCAGGTCTGCCTATGGGAAGGAACAGGGCACAGACACTCAGCTCTACCCGAGTCAGGCCAGCTGGGCCCCTCACAGATTCTGATGTCAACATCTTGGATTTAGACTCATCATTCTGGCTGTTGTATGGACTTCAGGTTGGAAGAAAAACAGGAAAGAAGGAAGCCAGTTGGAAAGTGTAGATAAGAGATGATTAGGTCCTCATCAACGACTGGGTCAGTGATAGTAGAGATGGAGAGAATAGAAGGAAATAAGATGGACCAGGTTAGGGACTGGAAGTGGCATCTGGGGGTCAGAGAAGAGGCTGGAGTGATTCCCCGGGTCCTGACTTGGAACTCTGGGCACAGTGCTGAGTAATGAGCTGGTTCTATGCTGGAGTCCCAAGAATCTAGTTAGCCCAAGAACTCATCACCTATCCGTGACCTGTGTCTTCTGATCTGTGGACACCGATAAATAAGGAAGGTTGATTTAGGGCAGGAAAGAAAAACTGAGGAGAGAAGTGCCCCAAGGAAAGTCTGTGGCATAGGAAATAAAATGCCAGCTCAGTGTTAGCAGGATACCAGGCATTACGAGTTGGAAAAAAGAAAAGAAAAGAAAAAAGGAGATCCATACTCCTCAGCTAAGCTTAATAAGGAGATTAACTAGAGGAGATTCTCTCCTTGACTAAGGAAGTGAGAGAAAAATTTTTTTAAAAAATGTCCAGATAACCTCAAGCCTATAAATGAGCTAGAGCAGTAGATTATTTCTGATTCCCAGAGAACCCTACCCCCAGGTATATGGTTTCATCACAATCCCGCCCTCCTCTGCCACCCTGCACACATCATCCAGGTAAATAACCACACTCTCTCCCATTCCCCCCCCCCCACTGTCTCCCTCCCAGCGACAGTGTGTAGAATATGCCCTCAAGGCCCGGCCCCTGCGGAGGTACATACCCAAGAACCAGCACCAGTACAAAGTGTGGTACGTGGTCAACTCCACCTACTTTGAGTACCTGATGTTCGTCCTCATCCTGCTCAACACCATCTGCTTGGCCATGCAGGTCAGTCTGGGGACCCTGATGTCGTGATGCCTGCATGGGGAGAGTGCTCTGGGAGGAAATGAGTGTAAAGAGGTTGCACAGGCCTCTCTGGTTTGTCACCTTCATGGTGGCCAGAAGATTTGTCCTCTTCTCCCAGGTGGAGAAAGACAAGTGTTCTCATTTCAAGGATGAGCTCCTCTCTGGGACCTAAGGAAAGAATCCGTAGGCCCCTAGGTTGAGAAAATAGAGGGAGTGAAGGAAATGGAGAACAAAGAGTGAGCTCGAGGTGTTCATTACTGTCAGCAAGGCATGGCGTGTGGAGGTTGATTCACAGAGGTCAATCACGCTAGAGCTCCTTTGAGTTCCAGGATTCTCCATAAAGTTGTCATAACCAGTCAAAGCCTGGACATAGAACTCTGCCAACCTGAGTTTTCAGAGATGGCAGAGAAGGGAAGAACTTGTAAGAGTTCCTGAGTCCACTTCACTGCCCACAGAGATGTGGATGGACTTCCGGAACTTGGTTCAATGAAGATCTCTGTTGAGATGAGGGTGGTAAGGAATAGGAATGTCCCTGACTCGTTTTCATAGTTTTTCCCCTTCCTTCAGCACTACGGTCAGAGCTGCCTGTTTAAAATGGCCATGAACATCCTCAACATGCTCTTCACTGGCCTCTTCACTGTGGAGATGATTCTGAAGCTCATTGCCTTTAAACCCAAGGTAGGCCTCTGAGAAGCGGCATCTGGAGTGCAGGTGCCAGAAGGATGGAGGGCCAGTATCGAAAGAGGGAGAGTAAGGGGCAGGAATAATCTGTGAAGGTCCATATCTCCTCTGATGATAGATTAATGCTCCACCTCCTAAACCCACCAAGACTAAACCGGGCCAACTCTTTAAAATAGAATCTCAGCTCATGGCCTGGACCATGGCTGAGATGTACAGGAAGCCGATTCCTCCCTGAGCTGAGCATTTCCATCCAGGGGAGGCAGATGATGCTCTTTTTTTTCTCCCATTTATCACTTTGTCTCTGGCCCCTTCCCCCAGTACATAATCTAGAGGAAACTACGCCCACAGACTGGCAAACCAAACCTCTCCAGGCCCAGCCCCCCAGATCCACACAGGCCCCTGTTCTCCCCTCCTCCCATTTCACCAGCCACACAGACGACCTCCTCTTACAAAGCTCAGCTGGGGCTACATTTGCTCAGGGCTCAGTGTCGTAACCCATGCGGGCCTCCTGTTCCCACTCAGAGGCCACATCATTGCTCCCGTGCACCTTCCAGTGCAGGCAGGGCAGTTACCTGCAAATGTCAGTGCTCTGCTTCTTGTAGGCAGCTCCTCAAAAAAAATTGGAAGACAATAGAACCCATGAATGAAGGAGGCAGGGTAGGGGAGGCTGGATTTCCTGTCACCTGGGATTATCCATGCCCTCCTTAGCCAGCTCCGCCACCATTGTCCTGGATCCTGGAGGAGCAGGCTGGATTGAGCAGCACCTTCCATCTTCCACCCTCCGCAGGGGGTCAGAATCAGTGGCATCTGCTGGCATGGAATTTACAACAAGGGCAGCTACTTCTGAGGGAGGGTGTATAGCAACTCAGCGGCTCCCCCGGCTGCCTTGGCACCTATTGAAGAGTGAGGAGAAAGGAAGAGTTGATGCTGAGAGAATGGTGCCATTACTGATTTGAGAAAATCTCTCTGACTTTCTGAATCTTCTCTTCCCCTCCTTTGTTAGTTTCCCCAAATGCAACACAGAGCAAAGAAAGCAAAAGGGAAGAGTCCCTGGCCATAGATTCCATTTTTTTATTCAAACTTTTACTTGTCCTAGAACTAACCAGGTCGGGGCGGTGCTCCTTGGCTCTTCAATTCATGTTCATTCACAAGCTCTTCATCATCTTCTTTGAATTAATATTCAGCTAACATTTCTGGATATCCTACCACGTGCTACACATACCTCATTGCATGCAATCCTCAAAACACCACTATAAGATGGGTCTTAGCACCCCCATTTTAGGGAAGAGGGAAGTGAAGTTGAGAGCAATTAAGTATACTATTAATTACACCAGTACCAACTGGCATAACTGGGAACAGAATCTAACACCTCTGACATGTCAATGTACTTCCACACCAACCCATCGGCATCTTTCCGCTGGGTACTTTTCAAAAAGAGGAAAACAACCTTCAAGGTATTTCAAAGATAAGACAGACAGTATTCTTAAAATGCTTATTCTTATTCTCACTCAAAGAATGCCTCGGGATTCTGGCTAATTTTCAGAAAGTAAGATGCTTAAGAAAGGTCATGTGGTGGTAAGAATGGTGTTCTCTTACCTCCCCCAGGGCAGCAGTGAGAGTCTTTTTCACTTTTCCTTCCACACCTGCTCCCATTGAGGGGCATAAGTTTTTGTCCTGGCCAATAGAAGACCATGAATGTCCCTGGCCACCTTCTGTGGGGCCCACAGCACCTCTGCCCACCTGCGGCTGGAGAGTACCAGACAGGCTCCCAACCCACAGCAACATGACCAGGTAGGGCTAGGAATGCAGGAACATTGCCCAGTGGAGCTGCAGCCTCAGATGGCAGCCTCTAGGCAGGGAGACTGGCATCGTTTTCACCTAATTTCATGAGACATGTGGTTGAAAGATTTCAAAGCCTTGAGTCATTGTCCAGTTGACTCAGGTGTGTTTTTGACGATGCCCGATGCGGGCTGCAGAGCGCTGCAGGGGACCTCCTGAACCACTCTCATGAGCACAGAGCTGCCCGGAGCCAACCTGCCCCAGGGAGCAAACGATACCGACTGAACCCCTCAGGGCCTCCACCTGAAAGCCACTCCACCTAAATCCTGCACATCTAGGGACAAGCCAGTTTCGCAGTAACTAGCCAGTGGTGGTAGTCTAAACCATAAAGTGCCTCCTAGTTTCCTCAATCCCTAGTTATCTATTGTGAGAAATGTGGGAAGAATAAAAGAGACTTCTCCTAAAGAAGAAAGAGAACCATCCTGGGGCCATTTGCATTCCACTTGCCAGGGCCAGTTTATGGTGTAAAAAGAAAGGAAAATGGGCTTTCTCTGTGGATACCTCTAAAGCGAGTTCTGGCAGTAGAGGGGTGAGGGCCACTGAACCGGCTGGCCAGAGGAGGCTGGCCCGTGCTAAGAAAGCAGGGCTCCCTGAATGCCTATTGAGCGATCTTCTTCCCTAAGGATTAGACTCCAGGAAAAGCATCCTCAAAAATGTCAGGCAGGAAACCAAACCGGAAACTCCTTGAAGCTATGGTAGAAACATCTAGCCGAATTTGGCCAAAGAACCAGGGCTTCCGACAGTGACCTGAAATTCAGGACAGCTTTCCTGTCTCCCCATTGGTTGGAATTCTGTCTGCACCTTTCAGCTCACTAGCTGGCTGCTTCTGTGTGGTGTGAATGGGTAACAGGTTTGCACTTGTAAGCATTAGCTGTAAAAGGGCGGTTAGGCAACAGGGATGTCAAAGAGTGACGTTAGTCACAGCCGGGGAGGAGTTATTTAAATTTGCCATTACTTTTCTTCTCTATCCTTTTTTGTCTCTGTGATTGGTTGGTCAGTTCGTACTCTTGCGTTGATTCTGCCATTGTCTTCATGGTGCTTAATGTCCCCTCGCTCCCCATTTCTATCTTTTCTCACCATTCTATGGAAAATGGATTTACTCAAGTAAATCCCTGTCCCAAATTCAACTGTCCCACTCCTCACAGTCACACTCTGTTCCAAACACACAAACTATGGGTGAATATAAACCAGTGTAGAGCAATTTGGACACCCACAGAAACCTCAGGGATCTGAGTCTGGCAATGTCTGGAAAAGTGGGGAAGAAGATCCAGTAGGATTGATCTGAACACCTAATATCAAGCCAGAGGAAATCCCTTCCTGAGAGGAGAAGGAATGCCTGGGAGGTAAGCAGGGAGTACCTGGGTCCTACTTGATTGTGCGAGACTAAGCTGGTCAGCATGAAAACCTTCTGGTTAGAATGGTTTGAAAATAACTAAGTAGCTGGGTTATCTTACCATTATGAACGGAATTTTATCAGAAAATATGGGAAAATATTCTTAAGATGCACTTTACAGTAGGTGCTGAAAAATATCCAATGCCTAAGTGTAAATCTAACCCCAAAAAAGTCTCAAATCTCTGCAGAAAAACTCAAAAATTTCATAAAGAGGAATTTTTAAAAAATGTAGCAAATGGGAAAATATGTCATGTTCATGAATTGGAAAACTTGATATTATAAAGATGTCATTTCTTTTAAAACTGATCTGTAGACAATACAATCCCAGTTAAAACTCCAGATTGAGCTTTACCCAAGGCAAGGATGGCAAGAGAAAAGGGAGCCACCCAACAAGACCTGTATGGTCAATAGGGTGACCCTGGGTCGGTGGTACCAAGGCTTCAATGCAGCTGGGCAGCTCTGACATCAGGAGAGGCAGGAACCTGGTTCCAGACCCTGTGCCAGTCACAGACACTGCGCTCTCAGCACAGGTGTTAGCACCAGGGGGCGTGATGATGACTTCGCTGCCTGTGATTTGCTGCTGACAGTGACTCAACAAGGGCAAGGTGGAGGGAGGAGGAGCATAGGATGGGGCTCTGCCTTCTCCTCATCAATAGAAATCCACATGCCCAGGGAAGGAGGCACTCGTTCAGACAGAAGGCTTGTCCATGGGTTGTGGAGGGGTGAAGAGGCAGAGACTGCTATTCCTGAGACTTACTCCCCTCGGCTGCCGCCTGCACGGGGGAATGCGGTTCTCATCGCCTCTCAGGACCCCCCCAAGAGGAAGACGCTGCGGGGATTGTGGGGCGCGGGGGCATGGGGGATTTGACCCTGGCAGGTCCCTGTCTTCAAGGCCTCAGTCTATCTTTTCAGCTTTCTCCCATCCTGGCAATAGTCCAGAGATGTGAATGGAGCCAAAGTAAAAACCCTCACTGACCTTCCTGGCCCCCAGCTTTCTTGAACAAGAGCAACTGACGTTTTGGGGCTCCCTTTCACGGTGCAGGACAAATTAGGGTCCAAAGGCATTTCAGACCTAAGGGATGAAGTGAGGCCTCTAGACCAGCACCACCTAATGGCACTTTCTGCAGTAGTTAAAATGTCCCATATGTACAGTCTATGAAATAGCCACTAGCCTCCTGTGCCTATTAGGCACTTGAAATATGACTAGTGCAGCTGGGGAATTGATCTTTAAATTTCATTTACTTTAATTAACTCACATTTCTGTAGCTGCACGTAACCAGCAGCTGCTTTACAGGGCAGCACAACTCTAGACACCGCTTCCTCCCCATGACATTTTCAGGGCCTGCTGCCCTCTGTCTGTCCTGGCTTCTTCAGCCCAACTGCTGTGGCTGCTGTGAAGCCAAGCGGTTTATTTCTTCCTCCCTATGTTTTCTCAAGCTGGTAATTTTCTACCAGTAATCAACTCATAGTAATGGAAGCCCTCTTGACCGGGTAAGACAGCCTCTGGCCCTGGGGTCCCCATTGTGGATCTTCTCCTGAGTGGACCAGTTCTCCCAGTCACCCCTGGATCCCCCAAGTCCGTGTCAGCTGCAAGTGCTGAGGCTCCTCCCCTGCGGACGCTGTCTCGCCCCGACGCTGGACCGGGCCTCAGGAAGGCAGAGAGTGCACTGGCAGGTGTGGTCTGGAGCTGTTCTTGCTGCTGTGGCTGCATGGACTCTGACTAGGGTTCCCAAGTAGCATTTTGGTACCTTAGGGAAACTTAAAT